CGCCAGCCCATCTCACAGCAGCAACTCTCGCGAAGCATTTTTTTTTTTTTTTTTTTTTCCAGGCGCGTGTCCGCTTGGCCCCGCATATCTCCCCTGCTCCTCCTTCCCCCCGCCTCCTTGCACATCCTCCTTGTGAGGGGAGCGGGAGAAGGACGAAGCGGAGGAGGAGGGAGAGAAAGCGCTCCTCGTGATTTGAGTCGTTTGGGGTTTCTCGTCCTGGTGTGAGTCGTTCGGGCCCTTCTTCCTGGTGTGAGTCGTTCGGGCTCTTCGTGGTGTGAGTCGTTCGGGCTCTTCGTCCTGGTGTGAGTCGTTCGGGCTTCTCGTGGTGTGAGTTGTTCGGGCCCCTCATCCTGGTGTGAGTCGTTCGGGCCCCTCCTCCTGGTGTGACTCGTTCGGGCTCCTCGTGGTGTGAGTCGTTCGGGGCCCGCGTCGTGGTGTGAGTCCTTCGGGCTCCTCGTGGTGTGAGTCGTTCGGGCGCCTCGTCCTGGTGTGAGTCGTTCGGGCCCCTCCTTGTGGTGTGAGTCGTTCGGGCTCTTCGTGGTGTGAGTCGTTCGGGCCCCTCGTCCTGGTGTGAGTCGTTCGGGCTCCTCGTGGGGCCTCTTGGGTGCCTCTTGGAGCCTCGTGGGGCCTCCTGGGGGCCTCTTGGGGGCCTCTTGGGGGCCTCTTGGGGGCCTCTCGGGGCCTCGTGGGGCCTCTTGGGGGCCTCTTGGGGGCCTCTTGGGTGCCTCGTGGGGCCTCGGGGGGCCTCTTGGGGGCCCCTTGGGGGCCTCTTGGGTGCCTCTTGGGGCCGCTTGGGGGCCTCTGGGTTGGGAGCCTCCTGGGGGCCTCTTGGGGCCATCTTGGGGCCTCTTGCGACCTCCTCAGAAGCGCAAATGAGAGCTGCCCCCTGAGAAGGACAACATGAGCCCAACACCTTCGCAACCTCAATGATTTTGCGATGAGGGGAGATTAGCGCGGCCCCCTCAGAAGGCCAACATGGGGCCAACACCATAGTAAAATCAATGATTTCTGCTTCAAAGACGAGGAGAGGGGCCTGTCTCCGCCCCCCCGTCGGGGCCAGAATCTTCGTGAAGGTCGTCGTTTTTCGGCCCTCCCAGGAGTCGAAATGGGCCCCCCTGAGAACGCTCGGCCCGCCCTCTCCAGGTCCAGGGGAGGGGGTGGGGGGAGGGGTAAACCCCTCCCCGAAGGGGAAGAAGGGGGGTTGAGAACAGAGAGAGAGAGCTCCCTAAACCACTCACGCCCAAAGGGCTGGTGGGATTCTTTTCAATGGCGATCAGAAGCGAACTGTCAAATCTGGGCCAGAAGCTGGCTGAATGGCACATGGCGCTATCTGCCAGGGCACTGGATGACGGCGCAAAAGTGTGGGAGATCGTTCCGAAATTCCACTTGTGGTGGCATTTGACAGAGATGCGCCCCGCCCCGATGGGGATTCCGCGCTCTTTCTGGCCATCTGATGATGAGGATTTGGTTTGGATTGCATATGAGATCGCTGGAAGCGTGCGCCCATCGACATTGGCCATCAGCGCGGTCTTTAAGTGGCGTCGCGTGTCCTTTGTAGATTGCGAGGGCTAGCCGCCCAGTGTAGACAGAGCAGAGCACGACGAGGAATAATTGGAAGCGAAGAGGAAATCGACGAAGCAATTTACGAGCGGTCACGAGCAGGAGTGTTGTTTGGTTGCGCCAGCTGACACTGCATAACGAAAGGGAAGCTCGATTTAAACTCTATCGACGGGACTTATCGAGCCCCGACTCTTGCGGATAAGAGCGAGGGTTGGGCGGGGGTGGCGCCCGTCATGGGCCACGGCGCCAAACCGCATCAATGTGCAACGCCGCCGCGGCGCCTCGCAATGTGAACGTCGTTCGACGCGCGTTGCGAAGTTTTCGAGGCGCCCTGCAAAAAGCGCAACCGAGTTTGCGAGGCACGCTCATCATAATCAAGCGGCACGCGAGCCGTTCTAAAACATGATAGCAATGAAAGGAAGCACCCACCAGACACCTTGGAACCCCATTCCAGCCGCGCGCGCAGTGTAAGACCGTTCCGCCCCTCACGCGTCGATCTGATGCTATTGCACATGGCACGTGCTGCGCCGTTGCAATAGAGAATATTTTCACCCTACACGTGAATTTACACATGTGCATATACAACTACCGCGAAGTACAACGCGCGTCGCGAAATACATTTGGATGTTGATTCCCCAATCAGTTCCTGCAGGGGTCCTAGCGGAAAATGAAAGATTTGGCGAAAGTTTCCTGCCGATTTTGGTGGCTGGCTGCGTTGGGTGTCTGGTTCCTGGTTACTGGGTTCCTGGTTATTGGTTCTGGGCCGATTCCAGTGGTTTCCGGGTTCTCGGGTTCGCGGGTTCCCGCTCGATCTCTTTGCCGATCATTTTATCGACCCCGCGATTCATTATCGATCATTAGATAGCCTTTCTTTATGTTCGGCGATGACGGGCGTCATAGGGGGTGGGTGGGGGCGAGGGGGGGCATGACGTAACGCCCCCGCCCGCCGCGTGGCTCCGGCTCTGCAGCCGCGCCCGCGTGCGCGACGCGACGAGCGACGACGACGACGACGACGACGACGACGATGGCGCGAGCAGCACGTAGGTGGCGATATGCCCCATTGCGCCTGTGTACACCACGACGCTCGTGTGCTCCACAGCACGCGCGCACACCACAGCGCCTGCGTACACCGCAACAACCGTGTGCAACGCAACGCCTGTATACACCACGGTCTTTGCGTACACTACAGCGCCGGTGTCCATGCGTACACCGCGGCTACCATGTGCAACACAGCGCTGGTGCACACCACAATGTTTGCGTGCACCGCGGCGCCTGTGCACGCCATGGCGCGTGTCTACACCAGGGCACCCGCGTGCAACGCAGCGCTGGCGCACGCCGCAATGCCTGCGCGCATAGGACAGGTAGAAGGAACATGCACTTGAGGATCTGCTGCGGACACCTGAGCGCCACGCCAGGAAAGTGCTGATAATCGAATGCGACGTTTTTATCCTTCTCCCTCCTCCTCCGCCTCCTCCTCCACCTCCCCCCCGGTCTCCTCCCCCTCCTTCTTCTGACCCCGTGTCGCGCGGGTTGGCGCTGCAACGCCCGTGCGAATTTCAGCGCGCACCGCAGAATGGTCCATTGAATTGGTCCACTTGGTTCTCGGACGGCCAATGTAGCTGGGGCCTCATGGATTGGGGGGAGTTTGGTTGATGCGGGCGGACTCGGGACGACTCGTGCATTTCAGCGATAATAATCAATTTCTATGTTTTTCTGTTGAATCCACAAGCGTTCCATTTTCTCATATGGATTCGTTCTAACATTCTATATACAACAGTGATGCTGTGCTGCGCGCGGTTCTCGTGGTGCACACTGGCGCCGTGGTGTGCACAGGCACTGCAATGCATGCAGGCATTGTGGCGTGCATTGGTGCTGTGTTGCATGCGGCTGATGTGGTGAAAGCAATCGCTGCGGTGTGCACAGGGGCTGTTGTGTCGGCGGGCACGGTGGCACACATTTACGCTGTGTTGCACGTGGCTGCTGTGGTGTACATCGGCGAAGTGGTGCACACAGGCGCTGTGGTGCACGCGCGCACTGTGGTGTACACAGGGGGTGCGATGCAAATCGCGACCTACATGCTGGCGCCACCCGTCCTCCGTCATTCCTAGGCATTCCCAGATGCCGCCGGCGCGAAACGTGACGTCATCGACTGACTGGGCCACCACGGGGGGGCATCATATTAAGGATCTGCAGCGTCGCTAACATCATCATCTTCACCGTCGTTAGCATCACCACATTCATCATCACCGTCATCACGCAACCAGCAGTTGTCATCATCGTCATCACCATCATCATGATCACCATCGCCATCATCGTCATCACCATCATTATCATCATCACCATCATCATCCACAGCGGTTTCGGCTCTCGGACGCGAGTAGCTCGCTTTTGCTTTTTCGCGCTCCCCCCCAACCACCAGCAGCCGCTATGGGCAAGAGGGCAGGTGGCGCGGGGGCCCCGTCGCCTGCGCAGAAGGCGGCGGCCGCGGCGGCCTCACCAGCCGCTGCCACTGGCGCGCCGCCCGCCGCCGCCTCTGGCGCGCCGCCCGCCGCTGCCTCTGGCGCGCCGCCGGCCCTGTGCATCGCGCAGCTCCTCGAGACGGAACGCGCCTCGATGCAGCAGGGTCACGTCAAGGGGTGGGCGCGCCAAGTGACGCACTGCGTCGACCATAGTTTGCTCAGCTTCCCGGGGCAGCGCAAGCGCGAGGTGTCCTTCGCGGTGCCCGCCCCGATTTGCTCGGACATCGACTACGTCGCCGCAAGCCAGCTCGAGGGTGCCATGGGCGCGTGGCGTGGTCGGAGGAGGCGCACTTCCTCTCTTCCACGCGCGCGCCCTCTCGGCGCTTCTCCTTCGACGTGCCTATCACCGCCTGGGTGGTCGACGTCAAGGTCGCCCAGCGGCTTGAGCCTAACGAGCCTGGGGATTGCTCGACAGAGGCTCTGACCACGCTCGCGGGGCGCGCGGCGGCCGCCACGTGGCATGCTGCTATGGGCGAGGCGCTCCAGCAGTCCAACGAAGACCGCGCGTGGCATCTGTTCAATGCCGCGTTGCCCGTGCCCATCGGGGTGCGCTTGCTGCCTGGTGGCGACGCGACCCACTTGGCCGCTCTGACATTTTCAGAGAAGATGTTCTCTGCGTTTGCTGCCTCTTGCGCTGAGCCCTGCTGGCGGTTCGCAGAAAAAAAAGCGGCGCTTGACCAAAGCGGGGAACTGTCTCGCCAAACAGGAATCGGCGTCGAAGCTGGAGGCTGCGCTGAAGGCCCGCGGCCTCCAGCTCAAAGGATAAGCTCGCGCCGCTGCAACCGCCGCGGCGCTGAAAGGTCTGCGCCCTTTCGTCCTCGACGGCCTCTGCAGTTCGGCTTTCGCGCTGGCCGAAGTGCATTTCCCAGAGCCTCGCGAACCTGCGCTTCTCATGAGGATTTGCTTCGCTTGCTCCACGAGGGCTGTCTCTGACGCCAAGGCCAGGGAATTGTTCGTTTTCATCGCGAACAGTTCCCGCGTGGCCCGCTTGGCGGGCGACGCCCCGAAGGGCGAGAAACTGTCCGCGAGCCGGGCCATCGGGCGCGATAGGAAGACGCCAGCGATGCCCCACGCGCTCTTCAAGAAAAAGGAGCTCGTCGAGTACATCTTCCACGAGGCGTTTCTTATAAACAAGGAAGTGGGGACTGACATGGCGGCATTTACGTTCTCCAGAAGTTCGCTGCCTCCGGCGCGGACGGGCTCGCGGCATCGCGCCGCGCGTCCGACTCAGGCGGCGGCGCCGACGGGATGGGGACATTGTTTGCGCTCCGCGCAGCTGGGCGTCGGAACGCCGTGGATGTCAAGACGAAGGCCGGGCTTGCCCAGCAGGAGTTGCAGAACAGCACCACTGGGTTCGTCTGGCGCGCGTACCTCGCCGAGACCAGCCAGGGCGTCGGCGCCAAGTGCCGCGCTTTCGCGGCCGCGTGCACGGGCGGGCCGATCCCCGCCGACCCCGAGCTGGATGCAAATCTCGGCTTGTTGGGGGTGTCCGAGCTCGGAGGCGAGCAAGAGGAAGAGCCCCAGAAGCTCCAGGAGCAGCTCAAGCAGCTCCGCAGGAAAACTGTGAAGTTCGTCAGTTTGCCGTCTGTCGGCGCTGCCTCTGGCGCGGAGTGCGCAGTGGCGCAGATGCAGAGCTTGCGGGATGCGCTCAGCCTCGGGCACCGCTTCGGGAGGAAGAGGAACGACGTTCGCGCGTTCATCCTCTCAGCGGAGCTGTTCCCGCCCAACGTCGTCAAGCAAGGCGGCGGGGCGAGGATGGGCGAGCAGGCGGCGCGCGGCGAGGCGATGTTCAAGCGCGTCATCGAGTTCTTCTTGCAGAATAGGCAGAATGATGATATCCTCATCCTCCTCGACGGCAGGAGCCGCGCGAACCGCAGGGTCATTGAGTCCATCGAGACGAAGTTGGAGTCAGGAGGCCCTCACGCGCACGTCGAGTGCTGTTTCGTGCACAAGCAACCGACGAAGAAGGAGGGCGCGCGGTCCGCGGCCAGGGCGTCGAGCTACACGAAGAACAACAGGGAGACGGCCATTTTCTCGATGCCACTCAAGGGCCCGCCGCGGAAAGCGGCGCGCCGTGCGGAGTTCAACGCGCGCGGCGAGTCCTCGACCGCAGGCGCGTCATACAGCGGCATCCCAATGCGGCGCTTCTCCGAGCTTCCTCGCATGGACCGCGAGACGAAGACGAGCATCTTGGGAGCTGCATCTTGCGCTAGCGTTGACGGGGGGCATCCGCGCCTGCAGGGGGGCATCGACTCGACGGGCCACCCGTTCTCGCACAGCGAGGTGAAGCCGCTCAGCTCGTGGCAGACCCTCGTGGAGCACCACGAAGTGACCCGCGTCGTGGACATCACTCCAGGTTCTGGCGCTTTGGCCGTTGCTGCCCATGGCGCAGTGGAGTGCGGAGGCATCGCTGCCAACGATGCGCGCCGGGACTGGCTCGACTCCATCGTGGACAGGTGCGCGATGCACAAGGCGGGCCACGACGAGGGGCGCGCGGAGCAATTGGGCGGCGACGCCGAGTTCGTCGAGAAAGCCGGCAAGTATTTCAGCGGAACCATGATGGAGGCAAAACGTCTGTTGATGCCAGTGGCCGGGTACGGCGAGGATGGGGAGGAGGAGGGGGATGGCGCGAGCTCGGACGGCGAGCAGGGTAGCATTTGACGCACTGCCTCTGGCGTGCCGCGACGCCGCCTCTGGCGCGCCCGTTGCCGCGTGAGAGGTCGCTCGAGCATTCGTTTCCGAGAGGGGCCCGCTGGCGTCGGTTCTGAGGGGCGAGTTCTGCGGCGGCGCGCGACAGTGATGTAGGCCCCGCGGCTGTCGGCGGCATCGGCTCTTCTGAGGCGCGAATTCTGCGGCAGCGCTCGGCTCGGAAATAAAGATGTCGCACCCGTTGCTGCCATCGCCGCAGGTCGCGGCGGTCGCGACGTCGCCGTCGTCGTCGCCATCGGCGCAATCGTGCTATTTGTGGTTCTGTTCCGTCATGTTCTCGTGGCATTGGTTGCCATATCCCACGTCTCCTGCTCATGCTCAGTTTTCCGGTGGTCGCGCTTAGTTTTCTCATGGTCGGGTCTAGTTTTCCCTTGGGTTTAGTTTTTCCTTTGGTCGGGTTGAGTTTTTCTCTGGTCAGGTTTAGTTTTTTTTCCTTGGTCGGGTTTAGTTTTCCCACGGTCGGCTCTAGTTGTTCCTTTGGTCGGGTTTAGTTTTTCCTTTGGTCGGGTTTAGTTTTCTTCTGGTCGGGACTAGCTTTCCCTTGGTCGGGTCTACTTTTTCCTTTTGTCAGGTATAGTTTGTCTTTGTTTTTCCTTGGTCGGGGTTAGTTTCCCTTTGGTCGGGTTTAGTTTTCCCATGATCGGGTTTAGTTCCCCCGCGGTCGGGTTTAGTTTTCGGGAAAAAACTTGTTTCCATGGTCGGGTCTAGTTTTCCTCTGTTCGGTTTTAGTTTTTCCTTTGGTCGGGTTTAGTTTTCCTTTGGTCGGGTCTAATTTTTCCTGGGTCCGGTTAAGGTTTTCTCTGGTCGGGTATAGTTTACCCTTGATCGGGTATAGTTTTCTTTTGGTTGGTCCAGTTTTTCTTCTGGTCGGGTTTAGTTTTTCCCTGGTCGGGTTTCGTTTTCTTTTGGTCGGGTCTAGTTTCCCCTTGGTCGGGTTTAGTTTTTTCCTTTTGGTATGTAGTTTTTCTTTGGTCGGGTTTAGTTTTCCCTTGGTCGGGTCTAGTTTTTCCTTTGGTCGGGTTTAGTTGTTTTTCTCTGGTCGGTTTAGTTTTTCCCTGGTCGGGTCTGATTTTCCCTTAGTCGGGTTTAGTTTGTCTTTTGGTCGGGTTTCGTTTTTGTCTGGTCGGGTTTATTTTTTTGGGTCGGGTCTAGTTTGTCATTTGGTCGGGTTTAGTTTTTCTTTGGTCTGGTTAAGCTTTTCTTTGGTCGGGTTTAGTTTTTTCTTTGGTCGGGCGTAGTTTTCCTATGGTCGGGTTTAGTTATTCCTTTGGTCGGGTCTAGTTTTTCTTTGGTCGGGTATTGTTTTTCGCTGGTCGGGTTTAGTTTTCTTTTGGTCGGGTTTAGTTTTTCCTTGGTCGGGTCTAGTTTTCTTTGGTCGGGTTCAGTTCCCTTTGGTCGGGTCTAGTTTTTCCTTGGTCGGGCATGGTTTTTTTCTTTGGTCGGGTTTGGTTTTCGCGTGGTTGGGTTTAGTTTTCCTTTGGTCGGGTTTAGTTTTTCCTTTGGTAGGTGTAATAGTTCTCTGGTCGCGTCTAGTTTTCCAATGGCCGGGTTTAGTTTTTCTTTTGGTCGGGTTTCGTTTTTCTTTGGTCTAGCTTAGTTTTTCCCTGGTCGGGTTTAGTTTTCCCTTGGTCGGGTTTAGTTTTTCCTTTGGTCGGGTTTTGTGTTTCTCTGGTCGGGTCCAGTTTTCCCCTGGTCGGGTTCAGTTTTCGCGTGGTCGCGTTTCGTTTTTCTTTGGTCGGGTTAAGTTTTTCTTTGGTCGGATCTAGTTTCCCCATGGTCGGGGGTAGTTTCCTTTGGTCGGGTTTAATGTGTCCTCTGGTCGGGTTTAGTGTTTCTCTGGTCGGGTCATAGTTTTCTGTGGTCGGGTCTACTCTTCCCTTGGTCGTTTTTAGTTGTTTTTTTTTGGTCGGGTTTAGTTTTTCCTCGGTCGGGTTTAGTTTTCCTTTGGTCGGGCCTGGTTTTCCTTTGATCGGGCTTAGTTTTTCCTTTGATGGGTATTGGATGCCCCTGGTCGGGTCTAGTTTTCCGTTGGTCGGGTTTAGTTTTTCCTTTGGTCGGGTTTAGTTTTCTCTTGGTCGGGTTTAGTTTTTCTTGTGGTCGGGGCCAGTTGCCCCCTGGCCGGGTATAGTTTTCCCTTTGGTCGGGTTTAGTTTTTCTTTGGTCGGGTTTAGTTTTTTTTTGGGGGGGTCGGGGGAAGTTTTTCCTTTGGCCGGGTTTATGTTTCTTTTGGTCGGGTAGAGTTTTTGTCTGGTCGGGTCTAGTTTTTCATTTGGTCGGGTCTAGTTTCTTTTCTAGGGTTTAATTTTTCCGTTGGTCGGGTTTAGTATTTGTGTGGTCGGGTTTTGTTGTTTTTTGGTTGGGGTTTAGTTTTCTTTCGGTCGGGTTCAGTTTTTCCTTTGGTCGGGTTTAGTTTTCCTTTGGTCGGGTGTAGTTGTTCCCTGGTCGGGTCTAGTTTTCCCATGGTCGGGTTTAGTTTTTCCTTCGGCTGGGTATAGTTTTTCCTTGGTCGGGTTTAGTTTTCCTCTGGTCGGGTTTAGTTTTCCCTTGGTCGGTTCTAGTTTCTCCTTTGGTCGGGCATTGTGTTTCCTTGGTCGGGTTTAGTTTTCCTTTGGTCGGGCTTAGTTTTCCTTTGGTTGGGTTTAGTTTGCCCTTTAGTCGGGTTTAGTTTTCCTTTGGTCGGGTCCAGTTTTCCCACGGTCGGGTGTGATTTTCCTTTGGTCGGGTATTGTTTTTTCTTTTGGCCGGGTTTCGTTTTCCCCTGGTCGGGTTTAGTTTCCCCTTGGTCGGGTTTAGCTTCTCCTTTTGTCGGGTTTAGGTTATCTCTGGTCGGGTCTAGTTTGTCCTTGGTCGGGGTTAGTTGTCCTTTGGTCGGGGTTAGTTTTCCTTTGGTCGGGTTTAGCTTTTCATTTGGTCGGGTATAGTTTTTCTTTGGTCGGGATTAGTTTTCCTTTGGTCGGGTTTTGTTTTTCTTTTGGTCGGGTCTAGTTCTTCTGTGGTCGGGTCTATTTGTTCCTTGGTCGGGTCTCGTTTTCCATGTGCAGGGTTCAGTTTTTTTTCTCGGTCGGGTCCTTAGTTTTTCCCTGGCCGGGTTTAGTTGTCCTTTTGGTCGGGTTGAAGTTTTTCCCTGGTCGGGGAAATCTAAACCCAGGCCCGCGGGGCCAGAGGCGGCCTGAGCCAGATCCATCACTCCCCTACTTTCCTACCTCTCTCCATCCATCTCTCTGTCGCTCTCGCCAACCCCCTCGCCCGCTTCCCCGTTCGGACAGCCGCGGGGCCCAAACGTCAGCGGGGTCAGCGAGCTCCGCTTCGCCGCCGCCAAGGGGAACTTGGGGGGCGAAGCCGCTGCGGGCGCGACGTTCCCACCCTTAGTTCCTCGCAGGCCTCCTGCCCGCCCAGGCTTTGCTCCGAGTGTGGGGCGGCCTGCGCGGGAAGGAGCGTCGCGCGGCCGCGTCTGCGTCGCCCCCGGTTTTCCTCGCGCCCCCCGCGAGCTGCCTCTGGCGCGCCCGAGATGGCGGACGGCCGAGGGCCCTCGGATGATTCGCAAGAAGCGGGCCGCCGCCGACGATGGCAGCGGGTCCTCGCCGCCGACGATAGCAGGCCACTTGGGGGCGATTCGACTGGCGAAGGTCCGACCCCCGGCGCCCCCGGCGAACAAGGCTCCGCGATTGGAGCCAGCCTCCCCGGCAACCTCCGACGCCGCCGCGTCTCAGTTCAAGGGCGGCCCGCCGTTGCGCGAGACTCAGGGCGACGACGATTCCATGGGCCTCTCGGACGCGTCGCCGTTCATGTCGGGCGAGGATGGCTCAGCGTGGGGAAGGGGGCGGGGGGGTGGGTCGCTCAATATGGCTGCCCATTGTCGAGTCGGCTTTTGCTGCCCAGCCAGCGGGCCTCGCCCTTGCCCCCCCCCCCCCCCCCCTTCCCCCCCCGCCATGCCGAGAGCGCGGGGGGGGGGGGGGGGGGGAGGGGGGGGGGGGGGGGGGGGGGGCGTGCCGTCGCTTTTCCGCTTTGGGCAGGCAGCAGCAAGATTGATCGAGCCTCGCCCGCCCTCCGCTCCGCTGCCGAGGATGGGCGGAAGGCCCCGAGTTCTTTCAGCAGCCTCTCCACGCAGAGCCCAAGCAGGCCATCCTGGGCACTTTTCCAAAGAGGAGAGAGAGAGAGAGAGAGAGAGAGAGAGAGAGAGAGAGAGAGAGAGAGAGAGAGAGAGAGAGAGAGAGAGAGAGAGAGAGAGAGAGAGAGAGAGAGAGAGAGAGAGAGAGAGAGAGAGAGAGAGATCGGACAAGTAGGCGGACCAGGGTCCGTCCGCGAGGCGCACTGCGGTGCGACAACTCGCATGCACTATTTGCGGCGGTGCAGCCTTTAGATACGAGGGCGGGCAACAAAAAAAACCCTCCCCCGGCGCAGTGCGACAGACGCTACAGACGGCGGACAGACGATGAAGATCTCACCTGACAGACCGCGTGAGGAAAAAGGCCCCAACAAGAAAGGCGACGTGCTGGCACGTGGCTAGGCGGCTTGGCGGACCGCCTGTTGGGCGCTCGGCCGCTAAGCGGCGCGCAGTGACGGGGCACCCCCCGCCCCCACGCCCTGACACCGTGGACGCGGAGCCACACGTACACACGGGCAGGCAGAACGGAGGAGATTAGCGCGGGGCACCGGGTGGAGCGCCGCGGAACGATGGCAACATAGCTTGGATGTTGAGTGACGGCGCGGCACCATCGGGCGAGGCCGTGAGCAGTTCGGCGAAGGCTCGCCCAGCACTGTGGAGGCGCTGGAGTAGAGGGCCTTGACGAGCTTGGGCGGCGGCGAGGTCCGCGGCGAGAGCTAAGCACCTCTGCTGGAGGGCAGCCATAGCCTGTGACAGCTCGGTTTCGCGGTCGGTGAGGGGTGGCTGCTCAGTACCAGGAGCCGAGGGCCTCGAGACAGAGGCGGGGTCCTCGGTACGCCTGTCCAAA